ATCTTTAGAATAGTCGTATTTTGTGCAAGCATCATCACAATCAATGTTAGAACATTTTCATTACCCCCCCCAAGAAATCCTATACCCCTTAGCCATCATCTCCCCAATTTCTCTTTACCTCCAAACCCTAGATAACCAGTAATTTACTATCAGTCTCTGACATTTGCATAATATGTAGCCTTCTCTATCTTTTTTTTTTTTTTTTTTGCTTAGTATAATGTTTTCAAGGTTCATCCATCTCATATTTCATTTAGTTTTTGCTGAATAATATTCCATTGTTTAGATATTCCGCATTTTATTTATCTATTTAGTCAGTTGATGAGCATTTGGGCTATTTATACTTTTTAGCTATATAAATAATGCTGTCATTCGTGTACAAGTTTTGAGGTAAAAATATGTTTTCAATTCTCCTGGATATATACCTTGGAGTGGAACTGTTAGAACATATGATAATTCTATGTGTAGCCTTTTGAGGAATGGCTAGACTGTTTTCCAAAGTGTTGAACCATTTTAAAAAAATTGAGGTGAAATTCACATAACATACTATTATCCATTTTAAATGAAATAATTACGTGACACTTAGTACACTCACAATCTTGTGCAACTACCACCTTTCTCTAGTTTCAAAACTTTTCCATCACCTCAGAAGTATACTCTACCCATTAAGTGGTCACTTCCAATTCTCCCCTCCACCAACCCCTGACAACCACTGATCTGCTTTCTATCTCCATGGATCTACCTATTTTAGATAATTCATAAAATAGGAATCATACAATATACGGCCTTTTGTCTGACCTCTTTCACATATCATAACGTTTTTGAGGTTCATCCAAGTTGTAGCACGTCAGTACTTTTTTTTCCTAATGACTGAATAATATTCCATTGTATGTATATACCAAGGTTTGTTTATTCATTTGTTCGTTGATATTTGGGTTGTTTCCACCTTTAAGCTATAATGGATAATGCTTCTATAAACATTCATGTTCAAATTTCTGTGTGAACCTATGTTTTCATTTTTCTAGTAGTGGAATTGATGAGCCTATTATTTCACTTTTTCCCCCCTTTTTTAAAGACAGGGTCAGGCAGAGTACAGTGGCATAATCATAGCTCCTTACAGGCTCCTGGGCTCAAGTGATCCTTCCATCTCAGCCTCCCAAGGCACATGCCACCATGCTCAGCTAATTTTAAAAATTTGTTATAGAGATGTGATCTCACTATATTGCTCAGGTTGGTTTCAAACTCCAGGCCTCAAACAATCACCCCCCCTCAGCCTCCCAAAGTGCTGGAATTACAGATGTAAGCCACTGTGCCCAGTCCTTCATTTCACTTTTTTGAGAAGCACCACACTGTTTTCCACAGTGGCCATACCATTTTATATTTCATAGGCAGTGCATGAAGGTTCCTATTTCTCCAATGCTCTATTGAAGCTTAATAATTTTATGTGTTTTAAAACTTAATAACCTTTTTTTTTCTTGAGTTGGAGTCTCACTCTGTTGCCCAGGCTGAAGTGCTGTGGCACACTCACAGCCACCCCAGCGCTGACTTGACTTTTAAGTAGCCAGAACCACAGGAGCACCGCTACCATGCCCGGTTAATTTTTTTGATTTATTGTAAAGATGAGGTCTCGCCAAGTTACCTGGGCTGGTCTTGAACTCCTGAGCTCAGGCAATCCTCTCACCTTGGCCTTCCAAAGTGCTAGAATTACAGGCAGAGCCACTGAGCCCGGCCATTAATAGTCATTTTAATGGGTGTGACATAATATTTCATTGTGGTTTTGGTTTGCATTTCCTAAATGACCAATTAATATTGAACATCTTTCATGTCCTTGGTCATTTGTTCTTCTTTGGAGATGTCTATTCAATTCCTTTGCCCAATTTTAAACTAGGTTGTTTGTAATTTTGGGGGTAAGTTGTAAAGTTCTTGGTATATTCTGAGTACTAAACGCTCACTGGATATATGAGTTGCAAACATCCTCTCCCATTCTGTGGGTTGTCTTTTCAGTTTCTTGATGATATCCTTTGAAGCACAAGAGTTTTTAATTTTGATATCCAGTTTATCTGTTTTTTTTTGTTTGTTTGTTTTTTTGCTTGCGCTTTTGGTGGCATATCTAAGAAATTATTACCTAATCCAAGGCTAAGAAAATTCATGCTCATATTTTCTTCTATGAGTTTCAGCTATTATATTTAGGTCTTTGATTCATTTTGAATTAATTTTGTGTTTATGGGGTATGAAGTAGGGATGCAAATTCAATATTTTGCATATGGCTATTTAGTTGTTCCAGCACCATTTGTTGAAGACATTATTTCCCACACCCTCCTTCCCTTTGAGTTGTCATGGTACCTTTGCCAAAATCAGTTGACCATAAGTGTGAGAGTTTACTTGTAAGTTCTCAATTCTATTCCATTAATTTGTCTATCTTCACACCAGTACCATACTATCTTGATTACTGTACCTTTGTACTAAATTTTGAAATTGGGAAATGTGAGTCCTTCAACTTTTTTCAAGAAGAACATTCCTTTTTTTTTTTTTGAGTAGGAGTCTCACTCTGCTGCCCAGTTGGAGTGCAGTGGCATGCTCATGGCCACTGCATCCTTGACCTACTGGGCTCAGGTGATCCTTCTGTCTTAGCCTTCCAAGTAGTTGGAACTACAGGCATGCACCACCACACCTGGCTAATTTTTTGATTTATTGTAGAGATGGGGTCTCGCCAAGTTGCCCAGGCTGGTCTCAAACCCGTGGGCTCAGGCAATCCTCTCACCTCGGCCTCCAAAATGTTGGGATTACAGCCGTGAGTCACAGCATCCAGCAGAACATTTTATTCTTACATGAAATTTAAGATGAAGGACATTTGTATAAATTTTAAGATCAGTTTGTCAATTTCTGAAAAGAAGTTGGCTGGAATTTTTTTTTAGAATTTAAAAAAAAAATTTTATTTTAAAGATGTGGGGTACGATTCAGGATTAGGTATACAAATGGTCATTGTACAGGTAAAGTTTGGGCCTCACTTTGGTCCCCACTTCCCCTGGTTTGAGATCAGGTACCCCTATTGATGAAATGTCCCTCCCTCTCCTCCAGCAGTTTCCCACTACTGCCAATCCCTTTCTTATTGTATTATGATAATTGTTCAGGGTCCACTTATGAGTGAGACATTGTTTCTGTGATAGATCACTGAGTATTATAGACTCTAAATTCATCCAAGTTGCTGTGAAGTCCATAATTTTGTTCTTTATGGCTGTGTAATATTCCATTATGTTTATGTACCACATTTTTAAAAAGTCCATTCCTCTTTTAATGGGCAGCCCGGTTGGTTCCATGTTTTTGCTATTGTGAATAATGCTGCAATAACGTGCATGTGCAGGTATCTTTTTCATAGAGTGATTTGAGTTCCTCCAGGTATATTCCCAGAAGGGGGATTGCTGGACCCATGGAAGGTCAATTTTTAGATCTTTTAGGAATGGCCACATTGTTTTCCACAGAGGGTATTCTAGTTTACAGTCCCACCAACAGTGTAGCGGTGTTCCCTTTTCACTGCATCCTCTCCAGCATCTGTTGTTCTTTGAGTTACTAATGATGGCCATCTTGACTGGAGTTAGGTGATATCTCAGTGTGGTTTTAATTTGCATTTCTTTGATGATTAGTGAGGCTGAACATTTTTTCATGTATCCTGTTGGATACTCATGTCTTGAGAAGTGTCTGTTCATATTTTTTCCCCCACTTAGTAACAGGGCTGTTTGTTTTTTTCTTTTTTGGCACGTTTGAGTTCCTTATAGATCTTAGATGTTAGGCCTCTGTCAGATATACAGTTGGCAATATTTTTTCCCAGTCTGTGGGCTGTCTCCCCGCTCTCTCAGTGGTTTCTTTGGCTTTGCAGATGCTTGTCAGTTTGATGAAGTCCCACTTGTCTATCTTATCCTTTTTGGCCTAGGCATTTGGGATTTTGATCAGGAATTGGTTGCCAGTTTCAATTTCCATAAGAGTGTCTTCTGCATTTTCTAAAGCTCTTATAGTTTGAGGTTTTACATGTAGGTCTTTGATTCATTTAGAGTTCATTTTTATGTATGAAGATAGGTAGGGATCCTGTTTTAATCTTCTGCATGTCTTTCCAATCTTGATGTCTTCTACTTTTTCTCGTGTAACTGACATGGACTTCCAGTGCAATGTTGACTAGAAATGGCAAAAGTGGACATCCATGTCTTATTCTTGATGCTAGGGGAACACATTCAGTTTCTTACCATTAAATACAATAGCTGTGGTTTTTTTTGAGACTATCTTTTTATCAGGTTGAGGAAGTTTCCTTCTATTCCTAGTTTGTTGTGTGTTTTTATCACAAAGGGTGTTGAGTTTTGTCAAATCCTTTTTCTGAATCAATTAGCATAGTCTTTATCTTTTTGTATGTAATGTGTTACACTGATTAATTTTTTGGATGATAAACCAATCTCACATTTCTGGGTTAAATCCAAATTAATATTCCCTAAATGAAATTCATCATGAACAAATTATATGAGGGCTGGGTAAAAATTAACTCAAGAAATGGTCAAAGAAACAAGACTGAAAAATAACTTCCATTTTTAGATAGTAACTACTTTGGAAACATTGAAATTTTGGAAGTGGAATTGTTTATGGCACTTTCCCATTCTTTGAGTCCTATATTTTTTGTTTTGAGTCCTAGAACTATATCTTCATGACATTCTAGATTTAACACTTAACCTGTCCCAAATATTCCTATTTTATAAAAATTACTGTAGTGTCTTCCTCATAGCTTTCTCTCTTACTCTTTCTCCCACACCTCCCCTCCCCATACATTGTTCTCAAGTATAGCCCCAAGTGAGAATATCGTTACCAACTATACTTACTGGATATTTTTAAGTACTTGTACAAAAATGGTATTAATTAGAAATATAGAGAAGTTACTTTTGATTTTCTAATGGCTTCTGACCTTAGTGCTGTTACAGCAAAGAGAAAATACCCTCACAGAGAACCATAAGGACAAAAAAACTTACTTTTAATTGTGACCCCAAGAATTATCAATATCTCTATTAACAGGGACAAGGGCTTCATCTTTTCTTAAGCAGCTCCTCTTCACTAACACAGGCAGAACTAGATGTCTGTCTCACAAGCTTCCTCTTCTCAGTTCTGGGAGGGTGGGGGTCAAGAGTTAGTTGCTAAGTAACCATTTCCTTATTCTTAGCCAATGGGCTGTCAGGGAGTTCCTTTCAAGCCAGAATGCTGGCTGCTGCTGGAAAGAGCAGGCTGTGGGAAGGACCCAAATCTAGTCTACTAGTCTTCTGGCTGGAGTTAAGGTATAGGCTTGAAATAGGTAGGGGTTGTTTTCTGATACGAAAGGAAGGGACTGCAAGCCCAACTTGCATATGTGCACATTAATGTTCAACTGTGTTTAGAGTGGCTGGAAGTTCCTATTTTATGTTGCCTCTAGAGGTGCAAGCTACACATATGTCAAAACACAATTAAGTACATGTGTGGAACTGACATCATCCCTTAAGCTAACATCTCTAGGCTATGACAGACAAGAGACACATGGGCTAAGTCTGCTTTATTCACAGTCTGGATGAAAATCTTTATTTTTCTATTAAGTTAGGAATTGCTGAGGATTTACTGGGACAGAGGCAAACAAAGACTGTTTAAAAAACACCTTTATTATCTCAAACAGTATGAGCATTTCACAAGTGGGTACTCTCCAAGCTACCAGAAACCAAAATGAATTAGCGGAATGCACAGAAATATTAAGACTATCCAACGAATGGAAGTAAGTCAAGAAATTATGCAACTTTTACAGTGTGTACAGGTAATTACTTCAGAAACAGGCATTTTATTGTCTAGAATTTACAGGTTTATCCCCTTTATTAGTTTCCCATTGCTGTGGTAATAAATCTAGTGATTCAAAACAATTTATTGTTACAGTTCTGGAGAACAGAAAACCAAAGGACAGGACTAGTCCCTTCTGGAGGCTCTGGGGGAAAAAAAATCTATTCTTGGTTTAGTATGTTCCAGGTTCTAAACGGCTGCCAGCATTCCCTGATTTGTGGCCACATCATTTCAATCTCTGCTCAGTCATCACTTGTCATCACTTACTTTCTGTAGTTAAATCTCCCTCTTATAAATACACCTGTGATTACATTTAGGGCCCACTAACAAAATCCAGAATAATCTCCCTGTCTCAAAATCCTTAATTTCATCTGCATAATCCATGTTGCTACATAAAGTAACATTCACAGGATTCCAGGGATCAGGATATCTTTGGTACCATTATTCAGCCTGACCACAGTGTTCAATGTCTTTTTCTTTCACTGAGACTTCAAAATGGAACTTTTATAACTTCTGTACTTCTTAAAAGTGTCTGAGTATCATTTATTTAAACTGTTCCAAACATCAGTCATTAAACATTCTCCAAATAATCTTTTTCTGTCTCCATATGGATCCAGAATTGCCAACATTTTTCAGTATATAATCTTGCCTCCTACTTCTACTGATTGAGGCAATTTGACCAATTTCCCTTTGTCTTTCTTCCTTTTTATTTAAAAAATTTTTTCAATCTCCACCTATTCATTCTTTTTGTAATTTACCCCAAAGTCCTTCTCTGTTAATACTCATTTTACCTCCCCTGGAAAAAACTTCCTTGGCTCTGGCATCCTTTCAATTACTATCTCCTGTCTTTTCCTTTATTTCCTAAACATCTCAAATGAATAGTCCATAATCATTGCTTCTTTTCTTTTTGCCTCCAACTTAATCCTCAAATGCTTTTTTTTACTTTCATGAATTTACATAGAATATAATTCTACCTTATAATTCTATCATTCTCTCATTCGTTTATGTATTGAACACCTACTATTTACTAAAGATCAATTGTAACTCTCTTCAAGGCAGTCACTACACATTTGTTAGTTCCTTTTTTAATCTTCACACTAAAATTACAGTCTCCCCAAGGCATTCCATTCTGTTCACATGAGGTCTACTTTAGTTTGGCAACACCTTTTTATAGATGCTCACTTAACAACATTAATTTTTACATTTTTATCTATTCAATAAATATTTATTGAAAACCTATTATATGCTGGGCATTGTGTCATTTTCTAGGGATGGTGAGCAAAAAGGTCTATCTTCTGTCTTTGGGGAGTTTATAAGTCCAGAATGAAAAGGTAGACATTAATAATAAAAAAATAAATGTATAGTCATAAGCTGTAAAAACTGCTTTATAGGAAAATGAATGAGTACTGAGGGCATACAAGGAAAAACTGAGGGCAAAGGTCAGGTGGGGTCAGAATCAGGGAAGGCTTTGCTAGAAAGCATTTTTTAAGATGAAATCTGAAGAATGAGAATGAGTCAACTAAATAAATCATGTCCCAGGTACAGCAACAAACATGTTAATAGGCCATATGCTAAGAACAAGATATGTTCAAGAAAATGAAAAGTTCTATGGTTTAGTGTGGCCAGAACCAGAAGTTGGAGGGAGGTGAGCAGGGCATAAAATACAATTGGAGCAGGGCATAAAATACAACTGGACTGCTGATTGGTACTCCATTCTTATTTAATTGTTCTAGGAAGACTGTATGAAATAGCTTAGGCTGTCAAACAAAATAATATACACTGGGTGGCTTAAACAACAGAAATGTATTTTCTCACATTTCTGAAGCCTGGAAATCTAAGATCAGGATGCCAACAAAGCCAAGGTCCAGTGAGAGCCCTCTTATTGACTTGGCAGATTCTTTTTTCTTCTTCTTTCTATGTTGCCCATGCCAGTCTTGAACTCCTAGCCTGGCCTCAAGCAATCCTCCCACCTCAACCTTCCTAAGTACTGGGATTATAGGCATGAGCTACCATGTCCATCTGGGTAGATAGCTGCCTACTTAATGCGCCCTCACATGATAGGGAAAGAGGATATGGGAAGGAGAAAGAGACACAAGAGAAAGGCTATGGACTTATCAGATTAGGGTCCCACCCTTATGACCTAATTTAACCTTTGTAATCTGCTAAAGACCTTATGTCCAGATTTAGCTACATTGGAGTCTGGGGCTTCAAAATAAGACTTTTTTGGGGAAACAATTTAGTTCATAGCAAAGACCACCAGAAAGTCATGGAATGATGTATAACAGTGAGATGACCTGACCACATTTGACAAGGTAACTCTAGCTGCGGTATAGACAACCGACAAGAAGAGGTCCAAGAGTGGATGTGAACGTTAATTAGAAAGTCTTGGCAGCAGTCCAGTTAAATTAAGACTGAGCTTACAGCAGTGTATAAGTAGAGAAATTCCAGACTTGTATAGGAGATAATACTGAACAGGTATGGTAATTCATATGGGTGTGAAGTTGTAAGAGGTTATGAAGTCATTCAAAGAGATAGGGAAAGCTGGAAGAAGACTAAGTGTGGGGGAAGGATCATGAGTTCAGTTTGGTATATGGTACATTTCAGTCACTTTAGAGACATTAAATATTTAACACTTTTGAATGATAATGGTTTTTTTGTCAGAATGATTAATACTAAATGCTGAAACAAATGCCCTCTAAATACTAATGCTTTAACACAATAAAAGTTCCAGTTCTTTAAGCTGACGAGATAAGGGACAACCTCCAGTGTAATATTCCTAGAAACCACAAGTGTAGGGATTGGCGTTTAGCTGGATGGACTGCAAACACTTCTGTCAGGCTGTCAAACCAAATAATACACACTGGGTGGCTTAAACAACAGAAATGTATTTTCTCACATTTCTGGACTCAGGTTGCCAACATAGGTTCCAGTGAGGACCCTCTTCCTGACTGTAAATTATGTCTTTTTTTCCCCCTTCTTCTTTCTATGTTGTCCAGGTCAGTCTTGAACTCCTGGTCTGGCCTCAAGCAATCTTTCCACCTCGGTGGGATGCACTTTCCTTAAGTCACCTTACATTTATCATTTAAATTAACTCAGTGTCCTTTCCACAAAATCTATAGCTGTTCCTATATTGTTATTAATATTGCTATTCTCTTCCTTAACTATTCCGGGAGACCCTTATCTTCCTTCTCATGTTTCTCTGAAAATCTATTCTATTACCAATTTTTCCTACTTTGAAACAGGGTCTCTGTCACCTAGGCTAGAGTGCAGTGGCTTGATCACAGCTCACAGTAATCTCAAACTCCTGAGCTCAAGCCGTCCTCCTGCCTCAGCTTCCCAAAGTGCTGGGATTACAGGTGTGACTGACTGTTCCGGTCCCATTACTAATTTTTATTGATTCCACATTGGTAATGTCTCTGGAATCAAAGTCCTTCTTCTATTTCTGTTGTCAACAAATGAGTGCATATTTTTATTGCTAACCAAAATGTCACTTCCTTCTGGACACCTTCTCTATTTTTCCCAAATAAATTTTTATGTATTTCACAGCATTAAAATAAAAACAGAAGCAGAGACAATGTCAACATAAAGATTATTGCCTTATGATGTTATGAATTATTCTCATGGCAGTGTCCTATAATTCAAAACAATCCATTCTTCACAATTCCTAATGAGACCTCTCCCTCTTTTTCTTTTTAAAAAATGTGTTCCATATCATTATTTGCCCAACATATATAAACAGCACCTGAACTGCCAAATAAATGTGGATTTACCACACCCACTAAATTAACCTGTATATTAAGACGGCTTCATATACAGAAAGGCAATAAATTGGGGGGGGTACCAAACTTCTAAAATTTAGGTCACCCTCCTCTTGTGTTGGTCTTTACCAGAACTGGACTGAACACCAGATCAATATCATCCAGAATCAAGCTGGCTCTTGGGACCAGCGCCCTAACTTGATGTAATCGGTGGAGGAATAAAATGAGGCCACTTGGCTCGCGTTAATTTGAATTTGCTCTGATGTTAGACTTGTTTCTTCAATATAATGTGTTGGTTGCCCACAACTTCCGGTTCTTAAAATTCCAAAGCAGCCCAGTCTACCTTTATTCCCGCGGGCACGGGCCCACCTTGTCTCAGTTTACCCTCATACTACCTTTGTTTTCTAAACTTAACCGAACTCCAACGAAATGTGTAATTTTTACTACAAGTTTGAGGAGCCGATTGCATAGGGTGTGGAACCGCTTCCCAGAACTTGCACTTCTTTTGGTCTTATTTGCCCATCCAGAGGAAAGCTTCGGATTCTCTGATAAAAATCCTCCCCGACGGGGAGCGAGAGCGAGCTCAGACACCTCGCGCAGACCCGGTCTCTCCTCCCACTGGCACATCCTCCCGTCTCCGGCACAGCTTTCGCCAGCTGGCTGCCCCGTCACCTGGCGCACTTGGCCCTACAGGCCACGGCCTCAAGTCCTCCTAGAGACCGGTGGGAAGCGCTGTCCACCTCCGACCCCTCCAGAGCGTCTGCTCCACGCCCGGTCCTCGCCGCAAGGCCATAGTCAGCCTTCCTCGCGCCCTGGCTCCGCCCCCTCCAGCTCCCTAACGTCCTCGGCGTCGCGCCCGAGCCTGCGCCTGCGCGTGCGCCCTGGGGCCGAAGTCGGGGCGCGCCGCGGCTCGAGCGCGGAGAGCGGCGGGCGGTGCAGCCAATGGGAGGCGGCGCTGCCTGGCGGCTGGTAGGCGGGGCCTGCGCGGGTGTGAGGTTAGCGCGAGGCGTGACCTAGTTGACAGGCTCTGAGGTGCTGCTGTGGCGGCGGCTGCGGGGCTGAGGCGGGTGGGGAGCCTGAGCCGAGCGCGGGCTGAGGGAGGAGGGCGGCGATTGGAGAGCGGCGCGCGGCGCGGGACGCGGAGCCCCTGTCACTTTTTCCCTTCCCGAGTGCCCCCTCCCACTCCACACACACCCTGTTTGCCCGTGAGCCTGGGGAACTTGCACCTTAAAGCCAGCCACCCCCACGGCAGCATGTACCCCAGCAACAAGAAGAAAAAGGTGTGGAGAGAGGAGAAAGGTAACCGGCCCGTCGAGTCCGGGGGGGTGCGGAGGGGCG